CACTGGCAGTATTTTCATTTCAAACAGTTTTTGAGCAATGAATTTTGATGCTGTTGTGAAATGCTTGCCTCAAGTGTCACACTGATGTGGGTTCCTAATAATGATTAAGAAGCACCCAAGCACAAAAATAAAACCTGTTAGGTTCTGTCAAAATTACTGCTGGGATGAGCCTAGTGTAATGATCACTTCTGAAGTCTGGAATAATATCAAGGAAACAAGACTCATATAATCTGAAATATTTGTGATATCCAGCTTGTTCTAAATGTTTGCACCTTCTACTTCACTTCTCAGAACAGGGTTTCTTAATTTTCTGCAAGCAGCGGGTGAATTGAATAGCACTTTATATTGAATAGTGCTGAATAGCACTTTCAAAATGTTGCACAGATATTAAATATTTTTCCCAAACTCATGCAAAAACTGGGAACTGATGAAAAAAATTTAAAGGTGTTAATGGAAACGTTATGCATATACTTTCAGCCTTTGACAGTCACAACCACTCCTATTGCTATTTTTCTAATAAGGGAACTAAGATGGGCAAATCATGATTTCACTACATCCGTTTAATTAGTTTGTAACAAGCTCTGTTCCCTGTTTCAGTGTTTCATCCACATCTCACGGTAATCACTGGGCTTACTGTAGTTTTAATCTCTAAATGTGTTATCTATCCTGCGTAACCCAGGGTCCTGTTTGTGAAATGCTGTCTAAAGATACAGAACAGGAATTTTTCTGATGCTGGTGTGATCACAACTTTGGTGACAACTGTAAAAGAAAAGTTAAATAATTTAAACTGATTTCCTTTGTTATTAAAAAATGACTATACCAGTTCAAAAGTAGACTTAATGAGCTGACTGGAAAAAAAGCCTTTAGTGCCGTAGAGAAGGCTTTGTAGATCTCTTGGTTCTGCCCTATGTGACCTAGAAAGGACTGAAGAGCAGAAGGAAGCAGCTAGCTGAGGATATGAAACACCTGAAAGAAGAAGAACTGCTTTTTAAGATGCGCTTTTATCAGTTCGGAGAAAAAATGGAGAAACTGTTCGTATGCAAGCCTGTCAGATAAGGGCTATTAGAAAGCTGTTAGGTTATTGAGATTATTATTCTTTAAAATTGCTGTAAAAGACACCAAAAACTAGTTATGGCTCAGTGCCTTGAAGAACTGCCCAAGCAACCCATGAATAAGTAGCTGAGCCTTATGAAAACATATAGTCATGTTAGAAAGTTCAGAAAGTTCTTTGGCTCTCTCTGCTGAGCAGGGTCCCCAGTCTCTGTGCTATGTGTGCTTGTGTTCTGTGGAGATGCCTCTGACTCATCATGGAGGGAGGCACTGTGACATGTCTCCATGGGTTAAACCCTCTGGCTGGTTTGAAAAACACTACTGTTTCTTTTAGACATCTCGTTTTGGAAGAGTACTTGTCTGGGGAGTTACGGCAGTCAGGTCCTGATCATGCTGGTCCTTCTCTAACTGAAAGGAAGATATGGTGCTCATCTCTCAGAGAGGGATGATAGGTGCTCTGTGCGAGGGTGGGTCTCTCGTTGGACTGGGTCATTTACGTCCTCTCTTCAAGACATAATATTCTCCAAAGGTGCTACAACATTTTAGCCTTTCCTCTGACGTTCCCCATGGCATTGCAGAATCTGTCTAAGGTATCTAACATACCTTAGTATGTTAACCAGGTAAAGAAGCTTGCAAAGATCAAATAGACTTTGCTGAGAGCTGAACTTGACTCTCTGATGAAAGTTTCAGTGCTTGCAGGATGTAGCATGGTATCCTGTAGGACTGGGTTGTCATTGTCCAAAACCACAAAAGAGCAAAGCAAAAAAAATGCATCTTTTTCTGTCTACCCTGCCCAGTTCCTTTATCAAATGTGAGGTCTGGCTGCATCCATCGTGTGTCACTTTGGTTGACACTTCACAGATGCAGATGTGTTATTTATATACACATGTGCAAGACAGAGCACAATCAGAAGTGGGTGCTGTTCATCAGGCAGAAAATTAGAAATGATATGTCATCCTCCTAAATAAGTAAAACTAGAGCTTTCAATTGGACGTGTAGAGATCCAAATTGTACTTACAGCCTGAGAACTGAAAGGAGGAGGTGAGGATGAGTGTGCCTAAGTCTCTCTATTGCCCAAGGTAGTCATGTTAACTTCTATGTGCATACAACGGTGCCTAGAGTGAAGATCTCCATTTGTTTTATAGTTGGGCCAACTGCCAACTTGCAAAAGTATGTTTTACAGAGACAGCAGTGTTATCAATGCTGTAAGCTTAAATATGGTTGTGTTATCAACTTAAAACTGGCTCTTAATTTGAAATGTTTAGGGAAGAGTACTGAATTCGGCTCTCATTTAATTTTCATTTACTAATGGAGTAATCAACATCTTTAGAACATGCAGCCACAAAATCTTTCACTCAATGAAAAGTGTGCTCAAAAATTCTCTTGTCTGAGATCTATAATCTCATTTTAATTAGCGTTGCACATGATTACTCCAATCAAAGAAAGTCAGTGACAAACATTGCCATCTGCATTCAACATTAACATCAGCCAGCATGATGGCAGTCAGTGACTTCAAGTTAATACATGGGCTCTGAGGTACCAATGTCTGTTCAAGGACAAAGAACACTGCCCTACTTTCTCTCTACTACTTCACTTTTCAAACACACCCTTTATCTTAGAACTTACCAAATATGGAGCATTTCCAGTCTGGCATATGTTTTGGATCTGGGATGTGACAGTCTTGCATATTCTCTGCAACAGAAGATATTGTCATTTGTTTTGAGTAATTTAATTATGTGTGGATTCAGGATTGTATCACATCTGCCCAATATTCAGTATGGTTGCCAACTGTGTGGTCAGGGCTTTGACATATTCATAGGCTTCCTGCCAAGGTACACAATTATTCAGTGAATTTTTAAGACAGCAGCTGCTCCATACAGCGCTAAAACTCAAACCACTGCGTGCTGATAAGGGCAATACCAACAGGATGATATGTTGTATGCCTGTTCATGTGTGCACTGCCATTTCTCCAAAGATCGTGTGTCATTGATTGGTTAAGAAGAGGTGACTGATGATACTCAGCTGCTTCTGGATTGATATGCTGCTTCATCATATATCCTCACAGAAAGACTTATTTGAGAAGGCAGCAAATGAGTTGCTACTGATAAGAATCCTTTATGAAAGTAAATTTTTTCTAAGATGTAGCCAAGTTTTTAAAGGATTTCCTCTGCTAAGCCATTAAAAATTTTCAAAGATTACATGCAATCCAAGAACATTTACCAAGAAAGGCACAAGCATATCTAAACTCATGGATTATGTAAAATAAAACAGGATTATTTATTGTCTTCATTCTCAGAGAAGGGATTATCTGGGCTTTTCTGAGGATGTGAGTACATGGCTGTAAACTCTTTAAGAGAAGACATATTCCAAATAGCATTTTTCCTCCTCCTGAACCAGACCTGTCATGCAGACTGAATGCTTATGAAAGCTTTCAAATTCTTTTTGGTTACATAGTTACAACTCTGATAACTTTTTTTTTTAAGTTGTCCTTATGATGCAAGGTAGACTTGAGTGTTTTAAATCTACCCATAAAGTTGTTATAATCGTTCTCTGAAATTACACTACAGTGCACAACAATTAATTATATCAAGTCCTTCTCAGAGAAGTGTTTACCAGTGAAGAGATTGCCACAGCTTTATATCTGACAATAAAAGAGTAGGAATTATTACACACCTCTCGGGATTTTACTGATCTAACATTTCTGTAGTCAGGATTAAAATCATATTGTTTTCCCTATCAGAAAATAAACATCAGTTCTTGACAGGCATGATCTTTACACAATATTTTAAAATATTGTAAAAATATTCCCATGTATTTTTTCCTGTAAGAAACCAAGATCTGGATTTTTAGCTAGGTAACTCAAATGAGCAAGAGGTACTCATGTACAGCCATGTTGGGATTCATGTGCAGAGTTGCTGTCTACCCTGAAGACTGCTGATGTAGGTGTCAGGCACAGGCCTGAATGAGGCTGAGAATTGGTATCCCTGCAGCTTGGTGATACAGAGCTCAGGGCAAGCAGAAGATCATTCCCAGGGTGTGGGTTGAATGCTTAGGCAGTAAGTTCACCCTGAACTATGCCCAGCCACAGTCTGATAGCCTGGCTTCTATATACATCCTATATTGATATATGTGTCCTATGTATGGGACTTATTTGCATAGGCATACCGAAGGTGGAGGTCCACGTCAAACTGATGGAAAACATTGTCAGCGCCAAAGGAAATAGCTAGGGCTGCTTGAGCAGGGACTGCAGCCCAGGGGGGCTGGATGTGGGCAGTGGAAGCAGCAATGCTATGTGTCCCCCGCACGCGTTGGGAGGGGTGCATGGCAGACTAGCCCTACTCTGGTCAGGGCATATTTCAGCTTAGTTTCTAACTTCAGGAATTCTTTGTGTGCAGCCTAACCCAGCTCCAGGGCTTCAGCCAAAGCACTATGAGTGGGAATAATCAAGAGATTCCCTTTGAAAGCTCACTTCTGCTCTGAACTAGATGTTAAGCTAGGTACAGCCATTCACCTAGAGAAATGCATTACCCCAAGCACAGTTTTGGTCCCTTGTATTTAGTTCTCCCAATGCACCCCTTTCTGCCAGACACCCCGCTGTCTGAGCACAGGGAAGGGTAAGAAGGACAAGCTCAACAGCCACAAATTGTTGTTAGCAAGGTGACAAGAGGGGCTTCTGGCTACCAGGTTTGTTTACTAGGTACTCTGATATGGTGATTGTTCTTTATTAAGTGAAACAGTAAATACCATACTTCACTGTTCAGTTTCTCTTTAAAAAAAGAGGATTCCGTAAAGATTAACTTCACAGTGGAAAGTTTTTCTCCGAGCAAGATCTTTCCCTTTGGAGATGAGTAAGGGTTAGCTGTAACATAAAATAAGACAAATTGTTCAGAAGTAAATGTTCCCAAGACTGATATAATCACTGGTCTTCATATCTTTATTTCCTTTCACAGAGCCATGTTTGACTACGACAAGAGCAAAGACAGTGGTCTTCCAAGCCAAGGACTCAGTTTTAAGTATGGAGACATCCTTCACGTCATCAATGCCTCGGATGATGAATGGTGGCAGGCGAGGAGGGTCACTCTAGAGGGAGACAGCGAGGAGATGGGAGTTATACCCAGCAAGAGGAGGTGAGTGCTGCTTCCTCCTTCCTACCTCCTTGGCCATGATGTATGTTAAAATATTGCATTTTATGCCAAAGACAGGGTGCATCAGTATACTGAAAAAAAATGGGTAAAGTACAAGAAAATCCTACACTTATTTCAAGAGTTGGAAGATATGATTTTCGCTGTGAGATTTGAAGAGCTCAGGCTGTTTAACTGTACTGATAAGAAACTCCAAAGGTGACTCAATTATAATGGATTAGCAATTTCATAAAGAAAGGGGGAAAGAGGGAGAGATCACCATCTACTAAAGAGCTTCAGCAGAAAAAGGAATAACCAGAACTCAAATCTGGGCATTAGCTCTGAATATGAAGTAGAGCACATGTTTTAATGTCAGAGTGATTAGCCATTGCATCAGGCTGCTGAAGGATGTAATGAATGTCTTGACATTTTCAAATCAAGGCTGTATGTCTTTCTTTTGAGAGAGTAATGGAATTAAACTTCTCAGACTGTGTGATGTAAAAAATGATGCTAAATTATATAATGATCCTCTTAAGCTTCAAAATCTGTTAGTTTAATATCTGCCTGCCTGGAAACTGATGGATAATCAATATCACAGTAAATTTTTCATATAATGTAAATGAAGGAACTTTCATCCAGCTCTGCAAGCTAAATCTGAATCTTTGTTTAGCTGTGATGGATTCATGCTGACTGACAGAGGGAGAACAGATATCTGAATCTCTCACATTGTTTGTATTGTTTACTTCGCTTAGGTGCTATTGTAAAATTTGCCGTGAGTCTCTGATAGTACAAGAACTACCACACAAATTGGTATTATTTTCTGCCTCTGTTGATAGTTGCTATAGAAAGGTCAAGAACTGAAAGGGCAGAAGGAAAATGAAATCTGTCAAACCACATTACATTTCTCTTTTGTAACAATGCTCCCATACTGCATATAAACTTTCTATTCCTAGCTATTTCAGCTTTAGCATTAATATAAAAATGATCATGACCATTTTTATACTGGAGAAATGGGATGTCTGATGCTCTGCAGAGCACCTGCTGCTGTTTCAGGAGTTAGTCCAGGTGCTAATAGAGCTCATGGTACTCCTTGTTTTAAATTACATGAAAGTAAACTGAAAGGCCATCAAATACTCTGTTGACATGAGCCCTGCAAGGACCTTATTTTCTCTAATAGTCACCATGTTTGAATACCAACCACACAAGGATTTTCAACAAAAAGCAATTTTGGGGTTGTATAATAGGTAGAAATAAAAACTACATTGTCATTTTTAAGATGGGAAAAATGTGCCCATTAAACAGATTTAGTCTTTAGATATTGAAAAAGGAATATTTGCATACTATTAATTGCTACAGTAAATACTGTTGTAATGGCATGATTGTATCACACATGGGAAAAGAGGAAAGTCTATTCAGTTATTACTGAGGGACATATGTGCTCAAGGCTCACTCACAGTGTGTTGCGTACTATGAAAAGCTACAAAAAGCTGTCATGCATAATGAAACTACTATAGGAGAAAAAAGGACAAAGCAAAGCAACTAAAGAAGATGTGGAGTTGCATGTTCTGTAAGATGGAGAGGATGTAAGAGCCTAAAGCTTACTGAGTTACCTGCACAGTGATGTTTTCAAGGACAAAAGATAGAGGCTCTCTAGTCAAGGTCAGGCCTGTAATACAGCCTAGGAAATAAATGTGGTTTAAGAAAAACTGGGAGAAAAGAGAAGGGGGAAAAAAAAAAAAAAGAAGCGAGATGAAAATAGATTTGTTAGGGTCTAAAAATAAGAGTCTCGGATTTGAAAAGATGCAGGTGTATTTACCATGCTCTCCACTTGTCATACTGATTCTTCACTAGAGAATCTGAGCGGTCTGGAAAAATCAATGGCATCTGACTTTCTGTCTGCATTAATGTAATGACGTGATACACCTGAGCTGGGGTGGGGGGTGGTTGCTGCTATTTCATAAAAGGTTTCAGTTGTACAAGGTTATTTTTTCCAGTGCACTAAAAAGTGAGTATTATTTCTTGTCTGTGAATTCTGGATGGTGCCTCAGAGCTGATGAGACTGATGTGCTCTTGCCAGCACCTTTCGTGGTCATTTACACCACCCAAGGGGAGGATGAGGAATCAATGCATACAGGGCTGAGCTACAGAGAATAAAGCTCATCATACTTTCCAGAATGTACTAATTCAGAGTGGAATTTCCTCTGAAGGTGTGGGTTATTCACTAGGAGAGGCTTGATCTAAAACAGAATAGTCCTGGGATTCATTTGACCAAATGCAGGTGACTATGGCATGGAAATCTTCATTTAAGCTGTTTACTCCAGGATGTTATATCTCTTACAGTTTATATGGGACAGTTTCTATAGGCATTGCATTATATGTAATATGGCGTATGTAATACCTAGCAGTAAAACATGCGTTATGGTGGAACAGGAGGAAAAGAACATCTGTAGCTGTTTATTGGCCGATGACATGTCCTTCAAGCCCAGCTTCCTCTGATGTTGTAGGCTGAAGAGATTTTATATTCGTCTTGTACTTTGCAATCCTTCATTCACCCCTGTTCCTTTTCTTTAGGGTTTGAGTCCAACCAACTGCCCAACACCACCATGCCTACCAAACCATATGTCACAGTGCCAAATCTACATGTTTTTTTAAACACCTCCAGGGATGGGGACTCCACCACCTCCCTGCGCAGACTGTTCCAATGCCTGACCACCATTTCAGTAAAGAAATGTTTCCTAATATCCAATCTAAATCTCCCCTGATGTAACTTGAGGCCATTGCCTCTTGTCCTATTGCTAGTTACCTGGGAGAAGAGACCAACACCTGTCTCACTACAACCTCCTTTCAGGTAGCTGTAGAGAGCAATAAGGTCCCCCCTCAGCCTCCTCTTCTCCAGAATAAACAGCCCCAGATCCCTCAGTTGCTCCTGCTAAGACTTATTCTCCAGACCCCTCACCAGCCTTGCTGCCCTTTTCTGGACACTCTCCAGCACCTCAATGTCCTTCTTGTAGTGAGGGGCCCAAAACCGAACACAGGACTCCAGGTGCGGCCTCACCTGTGCCGAGTACAGGGGCACGATCACCTCCCTGCTCCTGCTGGCCACACTATTCCTGATACAAGCCAGGATGCCATTGGCCTTCTTGGCCACCTGGGCACACTGCTGGCTCATGTTCAGCCGGCTGTCAACCAACACCCCAAGGTCCTTTTCCGCCGGGCAGCTCTCCAGCCACTCCTCCCCAAGCCTGCAGCGTTGCATGGGGCTGTTGTGACCGAAGTGCAGGACTCGGGATTTGACCTTGTTGAACCTCATACAGCTGGCCTTAGCCCATCAATCCAGTCTGTCCAGATCCATCTACAGAGCCTTCCTACCCTCAAGCAGATTGACACTCCCACCCAACTTGGTGTCATCTGCAAACTTCCTGAGGGAACACTCAATCCCCTCATCCAGATCATTGATAATGATGTTAAACAAGATCGGACCCAAAACTGAGCCCTGGGGGACACCACTCGTGACCAGAGGTAACTGGATTTAACTCCATTCACCACCACTCTCTGTGCTCGGCCATTTAGCCAGTTCTTTATCCAGAAGAGAGTACACACATACACCCATCCAAACCATGGGCAGCTAGTATCTCCAGGAGGATGCTGTGGGGAACAGTGTCAAAGGCCTTACTAAAGTTCAGGTAGACAACACCCACAGCCTTTCCCTTGTCCACTAGGCGGGTCACCTGGTCATAGTAGGAGATCAGGTTGGTCAAGCAGGACCCGCCTTTCATGAACTCATGCTCCTGGGCCTGATCCCCTGGTTGTCCTTCAGATGCCTGGTGAGCGTACTCAGGATGAAGAGTTCCATAACATTCCTCAGCAACGAGGTCAGGCTGACAGGTCTCTAGTTCCCAGGATCCTCCTTCTGGCCCTTCTTGTAGATGGGTGTTACATTGGTGATCCTCCAGTCATGTAGGACCTCCCCTGTTAGCCAGGACTGCTGATAGATGATGGAGAGTGCCTTGGCCAGCTCCTTCGCCAGTTCCCTCAGCAGGGAACTGCTGTGCCTTGCTCTTACCTTACATCTAAGATAAGAGCAAGGCACAGTTATCAGGCTGGGCAGATTCTCCAAGATGAGGTGACATAACTGCCAGTCCTGTATCAATGACTCAGGCATTCTGTGGTACTGTATGAGCACAATGTTTATGCACGTGAAATGTTCACCTATCATCAAAAATGGCTATTTTGTACTGGAATTACAACAGAATTAGACTAGATTTTTGTTACATTTGTATGTATAGATTTAGATTAGAATTTCTACTTACGGTGGGCTTTTGGTCACAAGAATTTTTATTTACCTCATTGTCATTCCTATTAACAGGACAATCAATATAAATTCAGCTTCCCATAAAGGGCAGTAGCAAGCTGAACAGCCTATGTCTAAGATTCCCTCCCCATGGAAACGCTCACGTTATTTAAAGCAATTCAGCAAAAAGCAAGAAACCAATGCGCAGAAGAGTGTATTAAATTCCTGGGCAGGTGCTCTAATTCAGTAGTAGATTTTAATTTGCTGTAGCATTGATTTTACACTTTCATTTCTTTTCACTTTTTCTTTGCTGAGTCTCTGCGCAAAGAAAAGCTCCTACACTGCAAGCCCCACACAACAGCAACTCCCACTTCATGAATGTCAAGCTTCAGTATTTTCTCTGACGTGTGTATATCTGCTTGATTTGTGTGTGTGGGTCTGAAAGTAATTCAGTCCGTGATTTCACACAGATTGCCCCAGCATGGACAAGCATAAATTCTCACCACTTTTACTACTGCTGTGAGGATTTGGTCCTAAAACACTAGAATATTTACACTAAACTTTCTGTTATCTTTAAGATGTGCAGCCACAAGACTGCTCTGAGACTGGACATTACACTAAGATATCCATTTTCAGGCAGTTTAATCACAGAATCACAGCATGACAGAATCACAGAATCACAGAATGTT